TTGAAAAGTTTTTTATCTCATTTGGTTTCAAATATATACTCAAGCATTTGCATTTTTAAACACGGCACCATAGAGTATTGCTACTAACTCCTTTCACTCACAAACCCGTTCAAACAGTTATTTTGAAACACTTCCTTCTCTAACACAAATGGGTAAACCAGATTTAAACATAAAGGAAGAAACAAAATTACTCTTTAAGTCAGAGGTTCTTTAGCAAAGTCCTCATCTTACCTGATTTCCTATAACTTTTACTTTCCAGTTTGAATACAGCATAGACTAAAAAGTTGTTATAGAGTAAAACAACTTTTTAAGCCTTATGCCCATAAGTTTTTACAGAGTAAAATCACTCCCCCAGTGGGCATGCCTGGAATTCAAGAGGAAATCTGCTTTCAAGTTGTTCTTATGGCCCTGAACCAGATGCTGTAAGGTGGCCAGAAACCTTTGTCTACACCCACTTAGCAGATTTCTGGCTCGTTATCAGGGACTAAAAGGTTTATTCGCAGAAATGAATAATTTCCTTCAAAATATCCCTTACCCTATTTACATGCTCACATATTCCTTCCATTTTGTTTTCCCCCTAGAGCTTTACTAAGGGAATTAATTATCTGGAAGAACGGGAACATACAGTAAGTACATCTGAGTTACAGGATGAGACACAGTATGTCATCTATTAGGCCTGGCTAAGACCAGCAGCTGATGCTAAATGGGAAGGAACATGCACCAAATGTTTTTTAATCACAAAGTTAGTAATTAATTGCTCTTTAAAATACATTTTATGCTTCTTTCTGTCTGTGTACATGAAATGCACATTTATTACATGCCAAAAATTACAACATTATGGTTTAAATGTGACTGGCACGGAAGTCCGGAAATCAGAGCTAATGTTCCCACAGCAACTTTAATTCTGTCCGTGTGCACATGTAGAGCTATAATAGTCTTCCGTTTCAGGATAATACGTATAGATGGTTTTGGGAGGGAAGCTAAAGACCCATATCCTCAACTGTAGTTACAGGAAAAAATCAAAGGATAAAAGCTGTGCTCCTTTCCACATACGTGGATAAAAACAATGTCCCCACACCCAGTGTTGTGTAATCAGGGAATGAAAGCATCTGCTGTGATGCCAGCACTCAAGGGGACAGTTTCTGTTGCTGTGGGAACCTGAACTTTGCATTTCCTGACTTTGGGGTAATTAAAATGTCAGCCTTAATGTGGCATTAATGGAGTTTGCCATAAAAATCCTCTGTTTTGTTCTCTAAAAAATTGCTTAAAAGTTCAAAATGAGCCAAATGTACTAAAAATTTTAATCACAGAGACTCGGGTGGGTGAAGCAAATGGTTGGGAGGGGGAGGCCAAGGAAGGCGGATGGCAAGAGTTGGAAAAGGAAGAGCCCACTGGCCTCTGTGAGTGTCCAGCCCCAGCAGAGTGATGCTACAGAGCTAAAGTTAAACCCACCCACACAACAGTTTGGAAATGTGTAAAGGTTCAATGAAAAATAAATAAAAACTGTTCAAGCGTAAGTGCATCTTGGCAAGGACACAAAAAATGAGACAGTCTGATGAGGCCGGTGTAAAACATGGGAAGGTGAGTCACCACGGATATCAGCTCGCAACAAAAGAAAGACATCAGAATAGGTGGATCTACAGCAGAAGTAGGGAGGACGGCCACAGGGAGGAAAATCACTTCTTTCCATGGGAGCCTTATTTGGGGGAAAACAAAATGGAAGAAATATGCAAGTAAAAGTTCTGGTCGCGTCTATCACATGTATATGACTGTGATGTGCTACAGCTTGATAGCTGTCAAGAAAGGTTTTTCATATGGAGAGCTTCGTCTGCTTTACTGACTTGGTTTAGTTCTGCTTAAGCATTTAAAGGGAGCACTTGGCTCAGCTCATACTCAGCCTGTTTAGTGGGGAACTGCTCTATCAAACACCTAGGGTGTTTTTTACCCTTCAGATTCCATAACTCATCTTAATGCCTTCCATTATCACCATGTGAATTTGCTTACCATTAGATTTTTAGCAATGGTGAAGAGATGATAAGCTAGGGGGTAATGGGGGAATACTGTTAAAAGGGAATTGTGTTAGTAGGTGCACTGCAAAGCAACATACATTTTAGCAGCAATATTAACCTCATCATCTCACAACAGAAAGCATATCTCAACTATATTTCTTCTTGTTTTGAATACTACTGGGATCTTTTGCAAAATTTGAAGAGGCTCGGGAAGTCAAATAGCCAACTGAGAATTTAGGGGGTCAGACTTGTCATCTTTGCTGGAAAACACAGCCCGTGTCCTTCATATGCAAAAAAGATGGTGGGTTACCCAACCATGTCAGTTCACATGCAGAGCTGACTTTTCTTTTGTGGGGATGCTTTATCCATCATGTTTTACAACCCAGTCACCAATATGAGTAGTTGCACATTTTCAAGATGCCTGTTCAGAGCCAGGAATGCCATCTTTGGGCTCAGAACAGAGAATTCCAATAAGAAATGCTCTCACAATGAGAGTAAATCCATAAACACCCCTCAGTACCCAAATGAGTTAACCACAAGCGAGTCTTTCATCTACCTGGGTGTCAATTTTCTCAGTTTTCTCATCTGTAAATTGGGAAGGATCATACTGACAGGAAATGGGCATTAAAACATGACTAAGAATAATTTTGCTAAACACATGACAAATAAAAAGGTGCTATAAAAATTCAGGCACTTGTGAAAGCTTGGAACACTACACACTGGTGGAATGTTTCTGAAGTTAAAGAGACTAACAAGTCAAGGGCACTATTTTTAAATGCCCCAAATCTGTTAGTTCTAAATAGGAACTGAATATTTTACCTTAAAGAAATTAGGCTTTTAAATTAATCTATGGTAAGAATGACATTTGAAAGTAAAAAAAAAAAAAATCCTCTTGAATGCAAGAAGAGCATCCAAAAATTTTAACAGCTTAAAATAAACCTTTTTCCTGTCTTCTCTCAAGCAATCTCCAAATGGACAGATTTCTGTGAATCTTTCCTAAAAACAATTTTCTTCTAAGTGTAGGCTCAAATCAGGACAAACTACAATCCAAATATATTTGGAGGAAAGTATAATCAATTTAAACAACAGGTTGGAACAGAGAAGACTTACACATCTTAATGGCAAAATCAAACTGTCTAAAAATAGCTGGAGATCAAGTTTCTCCTCCTGGTTTGTTCTTCCAACTGAGCTCACATCCATTGGCTTCCCCAGGGCCACCAAGTAGATGTATGGTGACACCACACTCGCGCTGTTCCTTAAACTTAGTTCATGCCAATGCTAAGGCCTGGCCAGAGGATGCTTATGATAAAGCACAGTAAGTGAAGCCCAGTGCTTTTTCTATTCAGCAAAACATTCATTTTTGCTGCAACAGAAGATTTCTGGGCTAAGGCAATTCCATGTAATCCACACCCATAAGGTGCGGCAGAAAGCCAGGTAATGAAGACTTGCGTGTAGAAACTCCAGGCCCTTCACCACAGGAACAGGCGATTTTCCTGGTGGGAAGGGACAGTGTGCACATGCCTATTGGGCACTGTGCCATGGTACTTTCCAATTCTTTCTGTCATTACTATTACGCTGGAGATTGCCAGGCAAGAAGGTCCAAGGATGTGACGATTAGGACGGTCCTCAGGACACAGTCCCTGCTTCTGCCCCCTGGTTTCTCTACAGAAGCCGCAACTTCGACTGTTCAAATCACATAGGCCACAGAAATTTGGCTCATGTTACTTCCCTTTTCATTTTCTAGTGACAGTTAGAATATGGTCTTAGCCCAACCTTAAGTAGAACAAGCTCTCTTCACCCCAACACTGCCCCCAGGTCATTTCCCTCTCTTTGGAGATTATCATGATGAAGCAAGTGGAGAATGGAATCTCCTGGACCAATCTGTCTCTTGCCTTCTTTGCAGAATGTTATATTTGTTCTGTCAGAAAAATAACAATAAAAGATTTAGAATCTCATTTCCTAATAATTTTTGTCTTTGTGGACAAAATTTTATTTTTGAAATAAAACTCTGTGGGTCTTATGTTACTCATTTTAAAGAAGAATATGCCAGTTACTTGCATGTTACCAGACATCCTTTATGGAGATCAGTTCAGAAGAGTTGTTGGGCATCTTAAGACTAAAAGGAATATTCTTTTGGATTCGACTCCAAAGTTATTTCATTCCTTTCCATTGTCAACACACATGTTTCTTTTTCTCTGAAGTATTGGGTTACATTTCAGAAAAAGAAAAAAATCTCCTAAACGTGATTTATCAACTTGCTTAAAATAGAACTAGAAGAAGTGACTCCCAGATTAGTGGGAAGATGGCAAAAATAAACAGCAAAGAAGTGATTTCAATAGCGACGATCTCATTAAGCTGCCCATTTCCAAATTTAGCCCTTAGGCAGTTTTTTTAATTAAAAAATATTTTTAACCTGGATTCTCATTGGCTGTGTGAAGTCTGGGTGGCTTCTGAATTCTTGGAAGCCATTCTCTTTTCTTCTGTAAATTTATGCTATCCTTTAACCACTTTAAAATAAATTAAAAACTGGAAAGACAGAAATTCAGCCAAGCTACATGAGACTCCAATAACTAATGCAAATCTGACTTGTGTTATGTAATTTCAAAATGGATGTTTCCTTGTGTCTAACTGGCCTTCTGAGGTCCATGTTTGGTTGTTCAATTTAGTAATTATGGAAGTGCCATTATCCAGATCAAGAATAAATGAATACCAGCCACAAAACTTCTTTTTCTAAGTTAGTGCCATGAAAAGAACGTGGTTTATGTAATTAATTAGCCTTTTAAGGCCAAATGGCATGTCACCTGGCTTTTAAATATACTCTAGCTTTGAAAACATAGAGATGTTGGCTGAATGAAAATGGTGGCACGTTACTTTTGGCTGCCTGAGAAGACCAAATGCAAACGGCTTGCTCTGAAAGTAAAAAAGCCAGAACCCAGGGGAGAAGCACTACTCCGCACTGCGAAGACACCATCACCTTAGTGGTGTACTCACAATCAGATGACCCGGTGTGAGCGTGAGAGTTTGTCAGTGAATGTGTTGAGTGGATGAGGGCTGGGTCTGGAGACAAAACAGCTTCAAAGTTCAGGCAGGGAAGGCCCGGCTTGGCGCTGGATCCACCCGGCTGAGTAATCTCATTCTCCTCAGATGCCTTCTGGTTTTCAGCTGTCTTGGGTTTCTTCCTGAAAATAAACAAAGGGCCCTTTGAAGGAACTGACTGCATATTTGGGAAAAGGCATTTTTAGAATCTGTTAAAGATAACTTGATTTTTTTTTTTTCTGAAGGGGGATGGGAGGGAGTCCAGTATGTCCCTTGTTTTAAAACAAGCTGATTCTTGTTTTTTTTCCCTCCAGTAATGGCCTAACTGGGAACACATGAAAGCATATGGGCCAAGCAAACAGCACCACATTTGGACTCTGTTGGCTGCATAAAAAGACCCTGTCCCAGAACTTTAGACAGCTTGAGCTACGTATGGCTGACATTATCCAAGAAAGCATCCCTCTTCCCCCCTTAGGAGTTTTAACATGGTCTGGAAAAATACTAGTGGAAGTTTTACCGTTCTAGCATTTGTCAGGAAGCTTAGAGACAGGACTCGTGGAGTAATGGGAGGAGCACTGGACTGGGAGTCAGGAGACTTGAGCTACGGTACTAGCTGTGCCTCTAACTTGCTGTGTGGCCTTGGGCACCTCACTTCACCTCTCTGGGCTTCAGTTTCCTCATCTGTAAAATAAAGGGCTTGGATTAGAAGGCCTTAAAGGTTCCTTCCAACTTTAAATTTCTACTCATGGAATACATTATGGAACATTCAACTTTCTTGCTCTTACTTAGATTTTATCTTAAATAAATTTCAAATCACAATTTAAATTTGCAGCCTGTACAGACGAGAGGGTAGTGATGGGAGGTTTCTGTTACAGTAGCAAGTGAAAAGTGAAAAGAAGAGCTTAGATTCTAGTAGCTGAAGAGGGGAAGGTGTCATGCAGAGATTTTTCTACTCCAACTCTTTATTCATCCTACGTCTAAGATTTTTGATTTGGTGCATCGTCCTGGAGTTTAGGGTATGACTGTGTGTTTGGGACACGAGGAAGAGAAGGGTGAAGGGAATTAGAAAGCACTTGTTACTAATTGTTATATGGGGTCAGGAATAGGAAGTAAAACAGCACAGCTATCAGTCAGCTCAGGTCTCCTCTCCCCAGGACAATGCAACTGATATGAAATTAACAAATACTTAGCTTATACTACTCGTACCCTAGACCACAGCCAAACTGGATTATTATTAATAGTTTCTGAACATTTCTCCAATTCCCTTGGATTTGTGTCTTTTTCTATCATTATGTGGACAGTGACCAGAAAAAGCATTTCTTTTATTTGTAGAAGACTATGTGTGGTACAGAATTTGTTGTAAGTAGATTTGTTTCCATGTTTCCCTTGTTTCTATGAGCATGGTAATGGACTTGTTATGCAGAATATTTTGTATTTAAATTTGTTGTGCTGGGTAGTTAAATCTGCCCTCGCAGAATATGGTGTTATGATTAGTATGCTGTGTTTTCAGTCCAACAGGTTGTGAAATAAAATCTGTTTCTTCAGAGGGCAGGAGGCAGAGATGGCATGATAAAGATTAGAATAGAAGAGAGGCTTTCAGACATCTTTTTCAGTATGGAGGAAGCCAATAGAAGAGAAGCAACAAATTATAAGACCTTATCAATTGTTTTTTGAATGGTGACTATGGGAGTAACCCCCCAATCTTGAGCGTCTACATGGACCCTGAAGGAGCTGGTATTCTGGTTTTCAGTCTAAAGATGTAGCCAAGATCGAAGTTGCTAAAGCCCAACTCCTTTACTATAACCAATGCTTTCTCTGAGGTCCGTATCTCTATCACTGTTGTCTACCACCAGGTTGGAAACCTCAGCATCACTATACACCTTCCTCTGCCTTAAAGTCAATTCATCAATAAGTTCTTATAGTTCTGCTTCCTTTGTATTTTTTTTCACATCTGTGTTTCCATTCCAATTTCAATGCGATTACCTTACTGCTTTTTATCTAGTCGATTGTTTACTAACTGGCTCTCTCCATCCTCCTTCACTCCTCTAGTCCTGTTTCTTTGCATTCACTAAATCTAAGATGACTACATTAGCCTGACACTCAAGGTTGGTTCCGTATCTCCTCTAACTTTTCTCATGTGTCCTATATATTGGCCATACTGGACCCTCAGATTTCTTGAATATCCTCCAGAACATCCTGGGAGTCTACATTCTGGGGTCTACATCTTTGCTCAAGTTTTCTCTTGCTTTGAATATCCCGTATTTCATCCCTGCCCTGTTGAAATCATACTTATTATCCTTCATACTTATTAAATGGTGTCTTCATCTTGTAACTGTCTTGATTCCTCTCTGCCAGATAGGACTTCATTCCAAACACTGAATTCCTCCCTAGGTCTTTCTCTGAAACGCCTATGCTCTTTTTTTTTTTTTCTTAATCTTATTTCACTCACTCAATTTTATTTCAATAATGGCTATTTATGTGCATATCCCTCTTGTGAGATTGTAAGCTCTCTGAAGGTAAGGAAATGTCTTAGTTATTTTTGTATTCCTTGTGTTCATCTATTCTTTCCTTCTTCCTTCTCTCCTGTCATTCATTAATTTACATATTCATTTTACAAATATTTATGATGTCCCCATGATGTGCCAACATGGGCTAAAGAATAAAACAGGCCTGGATCCTTCCCTCTCAGAGTTTACTGCCTTGTCTATACTATTAAGCAGTGTAGCTTAGACAAAGCTGTCATTCAATAATTGACTGTGGACAGAATGAAAGGAAGCTGAAATTAAAGTGTATTTTAAGAATAGTCATAGTCTGAATCCCAATGAAGTTTCCTACTTTTTATGCAGCAAGGTAGCAAAACTACCTGACTGGCTGCTTTTGCTTTAAGTCTATGAGGGGCATTTAATAAGAGCAGGACTATTTTGCTCAGTAAGGCTAGGCTGGCCCTCACGATTCATTTAAATATAGCGACAAAACAGTAATGACATATGTCACCTAGCAGAAAAAAATGTTTATTTTTGATATTCGTAGACAGGGCCTAGGATACTTTCAGATGTGTACTTCAGAAAATTAAGAAAGCTTTCTTTCAAACAAAGACATAGCAAAACCACCAATATATTACTCTTTTATTTTTAACACTGCAAAAATTATATTGTTCTTCATATCAATGCCCTTGTTTCCTTCCCTAGATTCGCTCTTGCTTCCTGACTGACATCTTGTACCACATCCTCCTGTTGCCTCAATGATCACTTTGGGAGAATATTCATAGCGCAGAGGCATTGGAGCTACCTCTATAAACAGGAAATGTTAAAAACTCAACCTTTTTGGCTTACCCCCTTATTTGTCTTATGTCACTTTACTTGCCCTTATACCACTGGGCTGTTTCCCAACTGTCCAGATAACAGAGAACTGCTCACCATCCTCAGAGGCAATTCATGTCCTGTCTCACCCTTTCTAATGGTTCTCTGGACTCCTTTTTCTGGAGCTGAGAAACCCTAAAATATAGCACTCGTTTATGCCTAGACATGCACAGGTGCTGTGAATTGACCCCATTTTTGCAGTTCACAGTTTATTAAGGAGGAAAGAATAAGTCCTGTCATAATTAGTTGAAAATACATTTTGAGGCTCTGTAAAAAGAATTATAAACATGGCACATCTGAGGGCAAGTCTTTTCAAGCCTCTGTGGCAATGCACTATTCCCTGGAGCCTTTAGAGGGCAGCAGCACACTGGCTGACTCCAGCGGATTTCAGAGAGGCAAACTCCCGACCAGAACCTTCCTCCTGGTCACCATGCCAAAGGTTGATTTGCCAGGCTCTGGCCTCTCAGTCTCTCTTTTCAGTTCTCGTTCTCATTCTCCTCTCTCTCTCTCTCTCTCTCTGTCTCTCTCTCTCCCCTCCCACCCCTTTCCTCCTCTCTCTCTCTCTCTATTAAAATTATACACTCTGATGAAGTCGCTCCTCAACCGGAAAATGAAAGCTCCAATGAAAAAGTTAGACAAGCCAACAACAACAAAGAAAGAAACCAGGGAAAAAGGGAAAGGGGGCTGGTGGCAGGGAAGGACTTAAGAATAAGAAAAGGGCAGATGTTTCGTAAATATATGCAAAGTAAAACTGGGTGTACCCTGAACACTTCCACAGAGAAACAGACCAATCATTGTGCACTTCCTCCCGCCACACTGGTGGAGCTCTGCATTCAAAAAAAGAAAAAAAAAAAAAAAAAAAGCGTGGCCGCAGGCACCCGCCTTTCAACGGTCAGTTCTGACATTCTGACTGAACATCTCTCAATTGTCCAAAGAGAACAAAAACATTTTCATCTCCTCACTGCAAACATTTCTGTTATGAGAAAAGGCTGCTTCAAGAACTGGGAGTGTGTTCTAAGGAGAGTGGCGGCTGAGTTAGCCAGCAGAGCCTTCTGGTTTTTAACTCTCATTGTGCTGGCCCCAGTAAGAAGTTTTAGGCTGAAACATAGCAGTGAGTAAGGCTGTGGAGGATGTTGGCTCTTTCCTAACTAGACCATATTGTATGTGGAAAGAAATATGCATTAAAGCATATTGATAATATGGTAGGTATTAAGCATGTTAAATACATGGAAATTAACCAGATCGGCGGCATTTGATGTATATATTTCACACTCTTTTGCACATATTGCACACATACAGTGATGGCAATGCTTTCTGCAACATATGGAAAAATAAATATTTTATCTGTGTGAGCTCTTAGCAGTCTCCAGGGTGTTGAGAGGAGAGCGCTCTCTTCTTTCACCCTATTCCAATTTTCTCTCTTCACTGGGCTCCCACCTTTTCCTGCACGTTAATGTGTCTTTTACTTATCAGCTTGGTCTTTTCCTATCTGATAAGTAATATGTCTGTTACTTATCAGATAGGAAAAAATTAGTTGGAACCTCCTATTGGCTCATGATAATTTAGACCAGTGATGCCTCCCCCAGTCTTGCTGGAGTCGTAACCATTTCCCTACTCTTTTCCCCAGCAATGCATTAAATAGGCTTAGTATCTGGGCAGGAGGGAAAGGGTAGGTGGCAACAAACCACCCCAACAAGGGTGGTAGCGGAACTGTGCTCCACTACCTATTAGCTCTATGCCCTAGGTAGATTACTCCGCATCTCTGAGCCTCATTTTCCTCATCTGTAAGATGGGAATAACAATACCTACCACTTAGGGTTATTGTGAGGAACAAATGAGATAAGCCATGTAAAGTGATTTGCCTTGTGCTGGCACATGGTAAGGGCTCAATAATGGTAGTTCCTCTCATAGGGATTGTTAGTTCTGTGACTTTCATAATGTTAGTTTTAAGAAGACATTTCCGGGCCGGGCATGGTAGCTCATGCCTGTAATCCCAGCACTTCGGGAAGTCGAGGCGGGCAGATCATGAGGTCAAGTGATTGAGACCATCCTGGCCAATATCGTGAAACCCCGTCTCTACTAAAAATACAAAAATTAGCTGCGCATGGTGGCATGTGCCTGTAGTCCCAACTACTCAGGAGGCTGAGGCAGGAGAATTACATGAACCCGGGAGTGCAGAGGTTGCAGTGAGCCGAGAGCGTGCCACTGCATTCCAGCCTGGTGACAGAGCAAAAAATAAAAAATAAAAAAAAAGAAAGAAAAAAACAAGAAGACATTTCCTTCCCTCATTTCAGTAATCTGTTTAGACATCTAGATTTTGGGCAGGGGCAAATGGATTGCTATTGTAGCAAAGGCAGAAACAATGTTAGGACAAGCAATCTCTTCCTCAACACTTTGATCTCACTCTATACCTCCTGACATCTCCTTTCTGCTCACATGTTTGTCATTGCTGTGGCTACGCTATACCATGAGCTCCTTGAAGCTGAGGGGTGAGCAAGCTGCACTTAGCCTATAGAAGCCCATCAAGCCTGAGCACTATGGTCTGTTCATTGAGACCAACCTATGGGACTCTGGCTTATCATGTTTTCTTACAATTTATCATTTCTCTACCTGGTCTGATGTCCTCACATCAATTTAAGATATTTTTGTGATTAAACACATTTTATTTTCTCAATCTTTTTTTTTTTAACCTTGGCAGGGCTGATTTACAATTTTTTTCAGTATAATTTCCTCCTAACTGTATCAGTCAGGATCCTGGCAAAAACAGATGGCACATGCAAAGTTTTTTGCTAAAGAGGGTTTAATGAAAAAACTGTATTTGGAGGTGAAGATGAGGTTCAGGGACCTCAAGGGAGATAGCACCAGGTACTAGCAATAGTGGAGACTGCCAGGTACTAGCAGTAGTGGAAAGCTTTAAACCATTTAAACTGAAGGGGCAAGTAAAATGGTGATGAATTCTGAGTCCAGCCAGAATTGGAGTTGGGAAGGAGGGCTGAACTAATACATTCCCTGACCTATCTCTTCTCCCACTTTCACATCTCCTGCTGATGTTGCCTTTTGGCCAAATTCAAAAGGAAGTCCAAGGACAAGAGAGCCTGAGTAATGGAGTCCAGAAGGCCAGTCTTCTGGGTCACATATCTGGGCAACGAATGGTTCTGCATTTTTTTGGGGGGGGGGGTAGAATGGGGTGACAAGACTAATCAACATATGTGTTCTCTCTTATACTTTCAATTATACTTTCTGGAAGAAGGACAGAACAAAATAAAATCAGTTCTCTCTTAGCTTACATGTACCTATTATGTTGAATTGCCATTCATAGATCAAGAAAAGAGAATGTAAGCTCAGCTGAGCAGGGATTTTTGTTTGTTTTGCTTGCTGCCATATACCTAGTTCCTGGAACAGTGTCTGGCACATAGTATATGCTCAGCAAATTTTAGATGACTGAGTAAATATACTCACCTCTGCCAAGACAGACTTTATATATAGACACCATGTCACTGAATTATCACAATGATATGGTTAAGTAGGCAGGGCCACTGAGCATTATTGTGCAGGTGGTATGGGGGGTGGGTAGGTGTTAAAATTTAATATATGCCTCCCCAACCCACTTCCAAGCCTTGAGACTAGGCTCAAAGCATTGTCAACCCACCAGAAGAGATATACTTCTGCAAATGGTTCACATTTTAATTTTTTATCCTCTATATTGATTTTTGCACCTAGCAAGTCTCTGCAAGTTTTATTATTATTTCTCTTTTATACATTAGAAAGCCAAGTTTCTGAATAGCAAAGACTGCGAAGATTATAACCCAATCTGCCCATTCCCTAGGGCCCATGAGAAGTAAAAGCAGGCACTGGCATTCTGCACAGATGAAATACTTCCTATGACAGAAATAAATGCTCACTTGTAGACTTCTCTGTAATTTGTAGGCAACATCAGGTCCTGATTTCTAGGTCTGGATCTGGGTTCTCTGTAGCACAGGAAGGTAAGAGTGATAAGAACTCTTTTCCCTCTTAAAGGATATAGAAACTTTGAAACCCGTCTGCATCATAGGAAGGCTGTGTTATCTGTATCAGCATAGTTACTACCCTGTGATGAAGAAAAACTCAGAAAACTATCCAGATGTGGGAATTTCGCAGGTATTCCTTGCACTTGAACTTAAGGATGAATGAAGGCATATATAAGTAAGTTTCTTGTGTGGGTGTGGACTGGAGAAACTACATTTGATCTTTTTTTGTCATGTCTTTAGTCCCCAGTACCCCAGTCCTATTCGCACTACAGAACACATTCCCCTCCTGGAAAGGCAGGCCTGTCTGTCACCTACACATCAGCTACCATCAATTATGATTCAGTTGACTGGAAGCATTAAAGGTAAAAGAGTGACACAAAATAAAACAAAACTCTGGCTTCATCCCTTTGGGTTCGATTTATGCCAGAATAGCTAAAGACATAGAAAGACAAATGTAAACATCCTACCTGAAGCCTAAGAGGGATGTTAGTCTCCCAGCTTTAGCGTTTTCCAGTAACATAGAAGTCTGTAAAACACCATCCCATTACCTGCCTCATAACATATAGGAAAACTTGTGAATATAACAACTAGTTATTGTTTTAAAACGTATAATTAAGTTATTTTGCATGCAGAACTTCTAAATAATTCAAATGTCTGGCTTTTCTAGTGGAAAATAGCATATATTCATCTGTTATTTTAGCAATGATGAATGAATACTTGATATCGATGTTTCATTAGTATTTCCCCATAGGTATCATATCTCCTACCCCAAATTATTTCTGTACCTTTCCTTGCAAGGTCTGTACTTCTCCTACATAAATGCCTTGCATAGCAGGAACTAAATCAACTACACAGACCCATACATCCAGAGAGCAGAGGTGAGCTGGATACAGCAGCTTAGAGATGTGGTGGAAGGAGCCCAGAGCTCCAAGGAAGGGCAACAAGGAGACAACAGCATGGGCTGCAGCTCAAACAATAGGTAAATCAAAGCAAGCAAAGCTGCTGGTCACAGATTTGACCAGGGTGGCATGAAATGACAAGCTACCGTGAGATTCAACAGTGGCACAGAAGGATGATGAGAAGCAAACAGATTAGGAGGAGCTGCTACCACCATAGGTAGAGGCATAGATGACCAAGCAGAACAGCATCAGTCCCTGCAAGGTGTGCTCAGATACAGCTTGGCACAGCCATCTGCTCAGGAGGGAATGATGCTGCACATGGTGTGCATTGCAGCCGGGAAGTTGAGAACCGCTGTGGGCACCTCGGGACTGAGTCTGGTTACCCTGCTGATCCAAGAAATGAAGCCATCTAAAATTTTGCCTGCTTTCACAATTTTCTCTCTCTCTCTGTGTGTGTGTGTGTGTGTGTGTGTGTATTTAATTAAACAAAGTGAACTAAGAAGCGTTTTATTGGAGACATAATGTACTCACAGTAGTTTCAAAATAAATGGTGTCACTCTTCAGGTAAATTACTCCAAGGCTTGGGCCTAGTGCAGATGTTCATTGGGGCAGGGAACAGAGAGCGGCTGCATCTAGATCAGACAAAAAACAAAAATAAGGTAGTTAAGTGAACAGGTGATGGTGATGGCAATTATTTATTTTGATAAGAACGAACTTTGGGACTTCAGTGAGAGGTTGGTTGGTTGGTTCTACATCTTTGTACCAGAAAATGGCAAGTTAGGGAAGGGAGAATGGAGAAGATGTTGTCCAGGCTCCATTTTCAGTGCTTTCCCCGAACTGCCTGTGCAGCGTGGGACATCAACAGTACCCTGTCAGAGTGGGCGGAGCTGATTTTCTGGTTCTGACTTAGAAGCTGAGTTGTGGGTGAAAGTGGGGGAAGGAAGTAGAAACAGTGTCCTTCAACCTTGTCACAGTTGATTCTTCTAGTATCCTTTTCTTTTTTTTCATTTACTATATTTATTTTTTATTCACACATAAAAATTGTATATATTCATGGTATAAAACATGATGTTTTGATACATGTACACATAGTGGAATGGCTAAATCAAACTAATTAAAGTATGCATTACCGGCTGGGTGTGCTGGCTCACGCCTGTAATCCCAGCACTTTGGGAGGCCGAGGTGGGTGGATCACGAGGTCAGGAGATCGAGACCATCTCGGCCAGCATGGTGAAACCCTGTCTCTACTAAAATACAAAACATTACCCAGGCGTGACGGTGCACGCCTGTAGTCCCAGCTACTCAGGAGGCTGAGGCAGGGGAATCACTTAAAGGGAGGCAGAGGTTGCAGTGAGCCGAGATCGCGCCACTGCACTCCAGCCTGACAACAGAGTAAGACTCCGTCTCAAAAAAAAAAAAAAAAAAAAAAAAAAGAATTACCTCATGTATTTATAATTTTTTCACAGTGAGAACACTTCAAAACCTACTCTCAGTAATATATACTACATTCTTATTAATGATAGTCATGAGGATGTACAGTACATCTCTGGAGTTATTCCTCCTAACTGAAATTTTGTGTCCTTTGGCTGATGTCTCCTCAGCCTCTGGCAGCCACCATTCTAATCTTTGCTTCTATAAATTAAGCTTTTTTAGATTCCCCATATAAGTGAGTATGTGTTTTTCTGTGCCTGGCTTTTCTAGTACAAAAAGAGCATATTTCTTCCCCATATATCATGGACGACCTCTAGATTCATCCATGTTCTTGCAAATGACAAGATTTCCTTCTTTTTGAAGGCTGCATAGTGTTCCACTGTATACTTTTACCACATTTCTGATATTCCTGATTCCACTTCAGTCTCTCTCTCTTTATTGCTTAGTTCTTAACCTATTGTAGTGACACCCATTGATCTGGGCATGTTCTGAACATTCCCTCTGTCCTTCACTGCAAATGCTCCATTTTCTTCCACAGCCTCTAACCCTGAGGACACTGAATTACCCTAATTTTTTTCCTACACCTCAGTCTGCTATTCTGCCTTCTTCACTGGCTTCTTTTCTTCCTTCTGTTCTCTAAATGTAGACATTCCTCTAGATTCTCTCCTCAGGCTTTGTCTTCCCCAGCCCTCCCTGACCTCAACAATCACTTCTCCATGGAGAGCATCCACATTGCTATCTTTAGTTCTAGCTTTTCTACAGAGCTGCACACCCACATTCTAAATAACAGCTGGTTATTGGTTCATTTGTTCCTTTGCCCATTCATTCAGTGTTTATATAGTATCTACGAGGCACCCGGATGAATAAAACAGGGTCTCAAACTTGGAGAAGCTCACATCTCCATCAAATACTACACAGGCTTTTCTAATTCAGAAAGTTTAGAACTGAATTCATTGTCTTTCCTTTAAAATCTGTTTCTTCTCTAGATGTCCCATTTCCTGCCATTGGTATTCTCTTCAACCAGTTACGTGGGCCTACAGCTAGGGAGTCATCTTTAATTCTTCTGGTTTTTTTTTCTTCCCATATCCAATTAGCTGCCAAATCCGGTGGATTTTACTCTGATTATGATTCCTGAATCAATACCTGTTTTCTATACTAACCCCTATTTCTCCCTTTGCTAACTACCGTGAGGACATCTATGAAAGACTCCTGACTGGTTTCACTTTTTCCAGTTTTTCTTTACCTCTTACCCATCCTTCACACAAACATTACATTAATTTTTCTAAAGTGCCCTTCTAAACATATCACTTCTTTGCTTACAGTCCTCCTTGCTTATTGGATTAAATTCAAACTTCTCAGTTTGGTATTCAAAGCTGCTACAGTGTAGCCCAATCCAGTTTCTTACTCTTATCTCTACACTCCATTCTACACTCCAGTAGTCCTACTCTTCCCCACCATGTTTATAGTATTTCTTCCCTTCTTTCAAGGTCTACATGTAGCTTCTTCAAGGGCCATCCAAATGCCACCTCACTTATGAAGCATTTCACAAAGGAGATTGCCTTTCTTAAATATTATGAGCACATTCTGTACTACTCCCTTTGCATATTCTACCAATTCGAATGGTTATTTGTGTAATTTGTCTTCCCTCTTCATAAGCTCTTTGAAAGCTGAGGCAATTTTTACTCCGAGTACCCTATAGTGGGCCATGATTTCTTGCATGTTAAGTTTGCACTAGGGCTGATAATCTGCTGAAACGAATTTAAAAAGAATAAACACTCTTGCCTTGAGTCATAGAAATGGGAACTAAATTGAAAAGACCTCAAAACTCATCTACTTCAACCCCCTCATTTTTCAGATGAAGAGATTAAGGGAACTGACTTGCTCAAGGTCACATCCTTGTTAGTGGCTGGGCAAGGATAACAGACATAAAAGGCCACAGACTAATATTTATCAGTGCTTACGTGGCACCAATAGGCCTAGCAGATCATCAATAATGACAAGACCAGAGAGAGGGAGGTTGGGGTGTGTAACCTGCAAAAATACATTGTGTTCCAAAAAATAACAAACTTGCTTCATTTATTTGCTTCAACAAACCGAACTAATAAATAACTTTTATAGTGAAATAATGTCTAAAAAATGATGGTGGATTTAAAAAACAAGGAAGCAAACTTTTCTAACATTACCAGCAGAAATAATAATGACAATACAGTCAACACCACTGGGGAGGAGGTGTGGATGGTTAATGGATACAAAAAATAGAAAGAATGCATACGACCTACTATTTGATAGCACAACAGAGTGACTATAGTCAATAATAACTTAATTGTACATTTTTAAATAACTACCAGAGGGTAATTGGATTGTTTGTAACACAAAAGACAAATGCTTAAGAGGATGGATACCCCATTCTCCATGATGTGATTAGTTCACATGCGTGCCTCTATCAAAACATCTGATGTACCCCGGAAGTATATACACCTACTATGTACCCACAAAAACAAAAAACAAATAAAATGTTAAAAATACCACTGGGGTGATACACTCAGGCTGAAAATAAGAATAAAGACACTTCTCACGCTTTGGAAAAGCTGTGGGTTCAGCTGGAGTTCTTGGTGAAAACATGCAGTCATTCTATGGTTAAATTCATTACTTTATAGAAACAAACTATTGGCAATCTGCTGTTATGCCACAGTAACACTTCTTTTTCCACCTACCTTAGCCTAGTACTCATTCTCCAGGTTTGTTTAAATGTTTACTTGTTTTTCCTTATATTACTAGTTTACTTATAGAAATGCATAGACAATTGCCTCCGAGTCTGTTCAAATTTTCTTGCCTTATTCTCTTGTAGTAGAAGAAACATTAGTTGTTTCTCTTCTCTATCCTTACCCTCAAACAGAATCATTTTCTCTCACCCAAAGATGAAAAGCCCAACAAAACATGCTGTGGGGATAATAGTGTTTACCTAGGTGAGGAAAACAGACTTTTCCAGGGAATCTCTGTAATTATTACTTGGCCAGAAAAGCTCAGCTCTTAAATGTTAGCTCCAATACTACAAGACTTCATCTGCATCTCCCAGGTGAGCGCTTGACTCACTGTTACCAGAGGAAAACCTTGGTAGTATTAATCAAACTCTTTTTGGCCAGTATGGTGGAGCCATGCTATGCATTGAGACATCCATTAAATAGCATCACCCCAGCAGCCACACAAACAGCAAAATGGGCTCAAGAGCTCTTCATTGTTCTTTCTAACCTGTCATAAGGCTGGACAGATTATCGACACTTCACCAGATAGAACTTCCTTCTACTTTTGCCCCCTGGCAACTACATTAAAATGATAAAGGAAATCACTCATCAATAGTACATTGCAGTGAAAAATTATCTGGCAAATTTACAAATCCTTTGTGTAATTACATAAATGTACATTTTAAATATATCTAACATTTGATTTAAATTGTGCATTTTATAATTAATACAACCATAATATGTCTGTCCTTTAATTAAATCCTTCTTTCTCAGCCCCACATCCTGCTGCTATAATCTTACTTTCATTTTTTGGCAAATTGTCACCTAGCTCCCTCTTTTTTCCCCTTTTGCCTTAGTACACACCTGAATGTCTATTAATCAGAACCACTGCATAGTGTGTCATGTTTCATTGCTTAAAGGGTGGTTACACTCTAAAAAAGACTCAGTGAGAATGACTTCATGGGGTTTCACATTTATTCTCTTTTAATGACTTTCACATCCAGTGCACTTGGTTTTTAAGTCAAAAGATAATTTTGAGGGGCTGCTGATGCCACAAATTCTCCCTAGAACCTGAAAATCCAGCTGTTGTCTCTGCTTCTTACATCATCACTGTAATAAAGAATCTGCTCTTGGAACCCAGCTGGCAAGTTTCCTGATGGTGTCAGAGGCGAACAGACAGTAGGTCACTTCTCTTCAGCCCGTTTCATTGTTGACGTTTCTGCAGATCTGTCTTGAAAGCCCTTAGAGAGCAGAGCTGTTATGAAATACACTGCCACATATCACTGTAAGGAACTTTCTGCAGATGTCAACTTTGAGTATGGCCTGTCCCATTCCTAGGAAATCACACCAAATCATTCTAAAATTATAGATGGGAAGTTCATGATTAAAGTTTACAAGAAAGGTAATAGTAACAATAACAACTAGCATTTATTGGATGTCTACATTTTATTAGGGACTAC